GGTTGCTCCACAGTATTAATATATTAGAATCCCTTATCCTATTCTCCTTAGGGTCCTTACCGTAGCTCTATATATACAACATTAGGCTCATGGAAGAGAAGAACAATCCCATATTCTTTAGAATTCGTCCGCCCCCTCTCTCTCTCTTCCTAGGAGTAGTTCTATTTCTTGTGCTCCACTGATACAAGATCTAGATAGCTGTTTAGAATACAGTAGAAGATCTTAAGGTATATACGGGATTCCAATCAGATCTATCATACATCCAAACCGGAGACCAAAACCAGCAAGTGACCATACCACGACGACCAAGACGACGAGACGAAGAGATCGCCGTCGAGATCGACGCCAGCCGCCGCCGCACGCGCCGCCACGTGCCACCGGAAGGGAGCAGCCGCTGGAACTCAATCGCGCGCGTGAGAGCGCGTGGAAGCTTCGTTTTCCGACCGGTCAACGCCGTTGACTTCGCCGTGACGTCAGCTTTCTGGATTGGTCAAGTTTGTTCGATTCCGAGAAGTTTTGAGTTGCGGTCAACCGTTCGGGCCAGCCAGATCTACATAAATTTTAAGAAGTAAGTTTTCTTCATCAAACCTTTAGATCCGCTGCGCATAGGTTTATGTTGAATGTTTGTCCGTGATTTGTGCATATCGAGATCCTCATATGTCCCAACACAAAGGATCTGACTTTCAGAGAAGAGTGCACGGGGTGGACTGGAATAAGTTGTCTATGGCTAAGAAGCATGGTGGATTAGGGTTACAGGATATTCAGTTATGTAACATTGCCCTAATTGCTAAGCAGTTATGAAAATTGGTCACATAACCTGGTAGGTTGGTTAGTAAAGTGCTTAAATCTTAATGTTTCCTTAACTCATCACTATTTGAAGCTCAGAGGACAAAGATTTCTTCTCGGATGTGGGCCAGTTGGCTTTCAGTTTTAAAGATGTGTGGGAATGGATGAGGATAGAAGTCGAACATGTAGAGATATAAAAATTTGGGATCAACATTGGATCCCAAATAAGATAGGTATGGAAGTTCAGCTGCTATCAGGTATAAACAGTGGTATTGAGAGAGTTAGTGACATGCTGAATAGTGATGGTAGAAGCTGGGATGTTAACTAACTTAGAAGCATCTTTACCCCAGATTTCTGCAAAGCTATCTTAAGCATTGACTCTCTTAATCCTAATGTAGAGGATACTTGGTTCTGGACATTACAGAGTAAAGGTTTGTTTACAGTCCAATCTACATATTCTAAACTCTACAGAGATATTTCTTCAACAGGCCAAACCACAGACTAGCAAGGGCTTGGCAACAGATTTAAAGGTGAGAGCAAGAACCTTCCAGTTAGTCTTAACTTGAGAGCTAAAGGGAGTGAATCAGGTTTGCAAAATGTGTGGAGAGGAGAGTGAGTTCGTAGAACATCTTTTTTTCCATTGCAGGTTTCCAGCCACAGTGTGGAAGATGGCTCCAGTCAATTGGGTTGGACCTCAAGGTAATGAGTCCTTTAAAGCATAGTGGTGGCAAATTTGACAACTTAACAAAAGCGAGACTTCTGAAGTATGTAATCAACTTTCTACTTATATCCTGTGGTGGCTATGGACGTCTCAGAATCTTTGGGTGTTTGAAGGAGTTCGTCGACCGGGTCACATTACTGTTTAAGGGGCAATCAAGGATTGGGAGGAGTTTCCTATGATCAATTTAGGATAGTTCTATTGTTTGTTGTTTTATTTTTTTTTT